AGTACTGAAAGGATTGAAATCTTACAAAGGGCAGAGTGTTTTGATGTTCTAGGATGTTAGCAGGTTAAAGGACAACACTAAATAATGAATGAACGTCCTCGTCTGAAATGAAGGAGCGTCACTGAATCATGAGGCACGTAGCCTAAGGGGTGACCGAGCTTTGTCCGGGGAGCAGAGGTGCCTCTGGAGCAGCCGTGGGGACAGCGAACGCCTCGTTCGCCCTGGGCACAGGCTGCCCGGGTGAGCCTGGGTGTCTGCGCAGCTGGGATCCCGCACGCCTGGGCTGCTCCTGGGGCTGCGCCTGAGGGTTTGCAGCATGCCAAGCGAGTTCGGTCTTGGGAGCAGCCTCGGGCAGTGCAGGCGAGACGTTTCTGGGGTCCCCACCCCGACAGGCGGGCAGCCCTGGTCCCGCAGTTGGACTTGACAGCGAGCTCAAGGGCTGAAGCTGGAGCTGTGTGGCGGAAGTGGTCTGGCAGCAACGCCGGCTTGTGGGGTGCCCTGTCCCCTGCCCTACCTGCTGCCTGGGGGGTCAGTTGTCACCCAGGTCACCAAACTGAGCCAGGCTAGAAGTCATCCCAAACGCTTTATCGTAGTACGGGGAAAGAATATAAGAACGGGGCGGGGGACACGACAGCCAGCAGTGATGGGGAGCTAAGCTGGCTTTCTGTCCTGGAATGGCCATGTGGGTGCCATCCAGACAGGCTGCCTGTCGAGTCACTTATGGATGGACAGACGTCCCTTACGTCATGCTGTTCAGCAGCAAAATGGTTAACTGTGATGGCAGTCCTCTCTTAAACATTTAAATAATCAGCTTTCAAAGGTAACACCCTATTAAGCCAAAGGGAGGAAGTTCACACCTCTCCTGGTGTTATTGTTCCAGTCTGGCTGGCTGCGGCAGCAGAATGACGACAGTGCCTTGGTTTGTGTTGTGAAGGTTATCTCTGCAGCCAGAAGGGATAGAAAGAAGAAACTTCATTTACAGAAAAGGAAGAAAGCACAATACAGCAAAGCCTCTGGGAAGATTGCAAGGCTGTAGGTTCCAGGAGTTGGTTTATGGGTGGATTTTTTTAACTGTCCTTTCCGCTTTCAGTTGGGTAAAAGATTCTGATATTTTGAATAAGACAAACTATTAAAATGAAATAACGTGCATTGTGTTATGTGACTTTTTAAAATCTTACTCATGAAACGTAATAAATTTACCTTCAGTTTGGGGCTGTGCAGAACAGCGTGTCGTGGGGTCACTGCTCTGTAGGTAAGCCTGGCACCTTTGGCAGGATTCTTCCATAGGCAGGAGAAGGTCCATGAGTGCTGCAGGTGGCTGTTGTGACCCTGACTGCATGCCAATCTGTCTAGCTAAAGACATCCCTTTGGTATGCCTGTGACGCTCTGTGCTGCCAGGGAAGACAAATCCCTTCCCATGGCTTAAATCTATGTTAAACTTTGCAGCATGGCAGTAAAAGTGGGGGAGCACTGCTGGTCAGTAACGGCAACACAAAGGATGTGCTCGGTTCTGGCGTGAGCGATGGTTACATTCCCTTTCCCTTCACACCCCCGTGTGATGGCTTATTCTGCTGAGGTAGCTAGTACAAAATTATTTACTTTTGTTTCTTATTTCTTTGTTATTTTTTTCTGATGATTTAATGAGCTGAAATGGGATTACTAAAGGACAAGGCTTTTCCCCACAAGAATTCTCTATTCATTTATAAAAGAATCTGAGAGCAAAATCTCAGCTCTGGTCCATGGGGACACAAGGAACTCAGACCAGATGATGGCCCTTGTGGTCCTTAAGTGACCATAAAAAACCCAACATCCTGAATTCCCTAGGCTTATTTGCAAATGGACACATTTGAACTGCACATTAGCAAGCTAATGCTCCTTTAATATATTTTGCTTTCATTCATGGTGATCTCTCCTCCAGAGGAGGAGAAATGCTGCAGGTAGGAAACGGAATTGGTCACTCTATGTTTGTTTGCATGTTTTTTCTGTCACAGATCTCAAGCCGGAACCCAAATATGACCTTAAATAGATACATATAGGTCATGTAGGTCACTTTGCCTTTCCTTGGTGTTGCTGCTTTGTGAAATGTGCTGGAGTATTCATATTAAGGAGAAAAGACCAATTTATGCTGGTGGAGAAGGAAGGGTTTGGCCCAGTTCCAAAGTTCACAACTTTTTTGTATGTACACGTTACAACTTCAGGGAACTGTCCCAGAATCAACACTCGCCTGGGAAGTACTTTCCCATCCCACCCTAACCTTCCCCTCACTTTTCCTACAGTTGAATTTGCAACATCAAGCCTTTTTATTAAAAAAATAAACGGCCAACTGACAGTAAGTTGGAAATGATCCTTGGATTCTTATATTTTATGACAGAACTTGTATTTCGTGCACAAGACCCCATGAGGGCAGTGCCTGGGCCAATTCAAGGGGTGTCTATGACTTGTTACGGAGTTAGGAGGCACACCGTGTATAGAAATACAGCAATTGATTTCTTCTGTGTGTGTGATGACCCCTGTGAACATAAATTTCTGAATACACTAGAATATTTTAAGAAATTTGTGTTTTTTCTGTATTTTATAGGCAAAACACACAGTAACATTTTCATACAGAAATTAAGAAAACATAATTAAAGGCTGTTGTTTGCCTATGTAGCCACTTAAGCCTTCAAGGGACTATGTTCTTGTGACGGAAAAAAAAATGTATTACATGGTAAGTATTGCCCCCTGGGTATAGGTAAAGGGTTCAAATTCTGGCTGGTTCTTGCGAGTTTGGATAAGAGGCAGAGAGGACACAAAAATCAAGTTTGTGATGGAAATTTCTTGAAAAAGAGGCCGACTGCTCCCTTTTTCCCAAGAGGGCTGCGAGAACGTCAGTGTGAGGTCTGGGATTTTTTTTTTTCCTTTAAGAAAATATTTACTGGTTCTTTTCTACATTCCTTACACAGTTTAAACAACACTGAAGCCAAGGAGAGCTGGGTTTGGATTATGAACTTTTTCAGCTTTTTTAGAGTTGAGCTGTGAAATTGCAGATAAAACCAGCTTTTTCTTCGTGTGTTTTCTTTTTTTTTCAACCTGCTCACTTAGGTATGTCTAAGCTGAGGTCATTGCTCATCAGCTTTACAATTGCTTATGCTGACGTTGTTCAACACCCAAGGATACCTGGATCTATTGGGGTTGTGGTCTTTCCCTTTGTGCTATGTAAAAGATGTTACTCTGCTCAGCGCAGGATATTTGCTGCTTGTCAGTAGCTCCCCGGCCAGATACCGTCCCCTTGCTAATCTGCCAGCCCAGTCAGGTTAGCAACAGCGTGCTGCTCCTTGAAGGTCCTCCTGTTTGCTTTGGTTGAAGATGGTCTAGGGTGCTTGCCCTGGCATCGGGCAGGGAAGGAGACATGTGCAAGAGAGGCCGGTGACAAGAAGCCAGTTGGCAGCCACTAACCTTTTCCCCTGGCACAGCTGTTTGCAGGGCGCCCATCTGCTCAGGCTTGTTGGAAAAGCTGGCTGGATCAATGTAAATCACTTAAACCCGGACCCACGGTCTTGTTACTAGCAAGGTGCCACTCCTTTAAATGCCATGATTAATAGCCAATGTCTGAGGGGATATTTTGCCCATCAGTGGCTACAGCAAATTGATTTTAGACGAAATCAGAAAATTGACAGGAGAGTTGGGGAAATGTTATGTTTCTGCTGATGCAGCCACAGACTTCAGCAATTTGCAGTAGCTCAAACAACCATTTTTTAGCATTTGTTAATGCCTTCTGGCATTGCAATGTTCCCAGCTTATGCCTGTTGCTCTACCATTCGGCAAATGGATGTCCTGAATGCTTTGTGCCCCCCGCAGCAGTAGAACGGGGTCACGCACGCGTGGAAGTGTGCACGAGGACGAGGCAGCTCTTGGTGAGGAAGGCTGGGAGGTGGGTCAACAAGGGAAGGGGCTGCACAGAGCCCCTCGCCCGGTCAGACAGAGAAGGTTGCCTTGGGAAACCCTGCCCCAAACCAGGAAAGCAGTGGCCACACAGGGCTGTTGAGGCTGTCACTCTGGTTACTGCTTCATTGGGTCATTACTTTTCCAAGCTGGGGTGGGCAAAGGCCACAATGTCCCAAACATGATTTCATTTTGCCTAGCTTTAAATGCTGCTGGGGTAGAGCCCCCATTACACGTGCTTTCTGTTACAGCTGTAGGTTGACCCTGTATTTTCAGCATTCACCTTGCATTTCAGAGGTTGGCTGGTAAAGTGGTGTCAGCAAACCCACTAGTGAAGATTTATACCAGACCTCTGTTTTCCTTTGACTCTGTTTTCCTTTGATAATGGATTAAAGAAGATCCCTGAATAAACTGTATTGACAAAATTACTTTTTTTTGCCTTTTACAATTACATTTTTATTACCTTTTTTTTTTTTTTGGATAGCTTAACTGTGGGGGGAAGAAAGAAGAATTAAGCAGGAATCCTGCAGTAAAAAGAAAATAAATCTGTATGCTTTATTTTAGAGGTCAAGAACAGTCTAAAGCTACTTCTAAATTGCTGGATGCTGTCTAAAGGTTAGACTGATTTTTGTCTGCAGCAGACCCAGAGCACCCATGCAGACACACTAAGTCAGATCTCATGGCTCACGTTACATGTATCAGCTCAGCTGTGGGAACCTGGTTGTACGTCTAAAGGTTGAGGAGAGCTTAGGTGAAGGTGGCTGATGAAGGTAGTACTGCTACCTCTACAGATGATCTGCTTGTAAATCAAATCCTGGGCTGCCTCAGCTCACAGACATAGTTTTAAGACAAAATGGGACTGGTGATACTTGTCTTAAGACACAGTGCTATGAGCTGTGGCTGTTCTGATACAGCCTGATGACCAGCTCAGGTACCCAGGGGTGAAGGAGAGAGGAGGTGGACGGGAGGAAGCACACAAGCTGAATGCTCCGGCCCATCCATCAGAGCCATGTGCCTGGCGTTGTTCAGGAAATGGGTTTGCCAGCTCTCCCGCGTCAAGGATGCTTTTGTTGTCACAGCTGCTATGGCTACACTGGCAAATCATTCAATGTGTACACGAGTCCAACGATACTTGAGTATGGTGCTTGTAAGTCACTTCTCACGTGTTTCATCGGGTCTGTCCTGCCTAACCTGCCATGTGTCACATTTCAGAATGGCTGAGGGCTTCATGTCCCGTTAAAACAGAGCGGGTGGGCATGTTGACTGGGAGGGTGCCTTGGACTGTAGCTAGTAAAGCTACCTACAGATAGAGCTGTTTCCAAATGGAAGTCTGATGTGTCGCTTCAAAAGCAGTCCTTGTTTCTTCAGCTGGGTAAACTGATAACTCTGATGTAGACACATCCAGGGCTTACATGTTTGATCCAAACCTTTTTTTCTCTAAAGTCTGGCAAAGCTCACTGGTTTTAAGCAGTGTTAATTGAGGTAAGTTACTGGTTTCTCTTATTGTGCCAGCAGCAAATAACCTTCAGTAGATCATCTTATGCTACCATTTATTTGTGGAGATTAATTTCAGGGATAGTGGTGGTGGTTGTTAAGATTGAGATCAACTTGCTTACAAAGAATTTTCCAAGGCTGAGATGAGGGATAAATCTGCTTATTTTGTTTAGTCTGAATTCACCCTCTGCAATATAATGAAAATAAAGGGATATCTGATTTTTTATTCTTCATGAGTCACTAGGTCTTTTTATAACGTATGGAAAAGTGGAGTTTCTTTAAATGTCACCGTTTTACCAGGACTAACAGAAGCAGGAATATAACTATTTAGTACTGCATTTTACTGCCTGGGAAAAATAAAGTGTACTGTACAGGATTTGTCCAAAACCACTTGAGGAGTTAACTAGAAAGCGAAACTTGGAATGAGGTTTCTTGAATGGTCTTCCTGTTTGATCTAAACTGGTCCATGCTGCTTTGCTGCATCTTGTTATGTGAACCTGCCTGCTTCTAATACATTCCCTCTTTCTTATTTTAGCAATTAATCAAAATGAAGAAAACAGTCATGAAATAAAAGGACTAGAAGAGCTCAAGGATACCTCTGATACTCAGGTAAATGTGTAAGATTAATGCCATCTCGGGGACTTTTTCGGATCTACAAGTTGAAGGATTTGCTTTGAATAGCTCTGGGAAATGGATTTTTCTGCACAGGGAGCCTGTAGCAAGGAGAAAATCTGCTGGATCTTGTCTTATGTGACTATTTAGAATAAGATTGATGATTATTCTGGGAATTAATGCCATGATGTTGCAATTGGACAGCGTTCTTCAACTGTCTCTCTGCTCTCTTTAGATAATATTGAGCATATACCATACCAGCATACGCAACGTGCATATAAGATGTTGAGAAATGGAATTGCACACAGTTTCAAATCTATTAATGCATGTACCAGATGTGAAAATAAAATGAGATGTGTTTTAAGAGGCAAAGGCATGTGACATTTTGATTGACTTTTAATCACTGTAAGTAGACATGCAATGAAATTAGGATACTTATTAGTCACTCGAGTGTAAGCAACATCCTTTTTCTTTCCTTCTCTAACTCTAACTTCTCATTTACAACCAAAGCATACTTCTAAATATTACTGAGAAGAAACTTATATGCATTTTAGAGTATTTTCTTGTGGAATTGCTTACCTTTTTTTATTCTGTGAATCTTTTTTGATTGATCTTCTGTTCATTCAGTCATTCAGTTCATGCATTCAAACTGCGCAAGTCTAACTATAATTGTTATTGTATTTTTGCTTTTCATTTAAAATTGATTTCTCCCAGTCTTCATTGTTTTTTTCTTCTATTCCTCTTGACAATCATATGTTTCACCCCAGTTGCCACCTTTGCTCCTTCTTAGATATGCTACTTGCAGTTCCTGTTTCTGATTTATCTCCTAACACCTTGCCCACTAGAAAGCTGTGTGTGAGAAAGACAGGATCTGCACTGATGTCTGTGAGCAAGCCTAGCTGAAGGGGTACAAGCCATGTAGCCGGGGTTGCAGTACCTATATTTTTCTAAAGGTAGGGGCTGTCTTGACCACAGTGAGCCCAGGAGGGGCTTTAGGCAGCTCCAGTAGCAGACCTGGGCCATAGCAGACACCTGGAGAGTGCAGGCAGAGGAGTTGGGGACCGTGCTGATATGCCCACTGCGTCAGCGTGTATCTGGGCTTTGCTCGCGTAGTCATCAGAGTCATGCTCAAGCAAGATGTTGGGAAATGGAATTGCACACAGTTTCAAATCTATTAATGCATGTACCAGATGTGAAAATAAAATGAGATGTGTTTTAAGAGGCAAAGGCATGTGACATTTTGATTGACTTTTAATCACTGTAAGTAGACATGCAATGAAATTAGGATACTTATTAGTCACTCGAGTGTAAGCAACATCCTTTTTCTTTCCTTCTCTAACTCTAACTTCTCATTTACAACCAAAGCATACTTCTAAATATTACTGAGAAGAAACTTATATGCATTTTAGAGTATTTTCTTGTGGAATTGCTTACCTTTTTTTATTCTGTGAATCTTTTTTGATTGATCTCCTGTTCGTTCAGTCATTCAGTTAATGCATTCAAACTGCGCAAGTCTAACTATAATTGTTATTGTATTTTTGCTTTTCATTTAAAATTGATTTCTCCCAGTCTTCATTGTTTTTTTCTTCTATTCCTCTTGACAATCATATGTTTCACCCCAGTTGCCACCTTTGCTCCTTCTTAGATATGCTACTTGCAGTTCCTGTTTCTGATTTATCTCCTAACACCTTGCCCGCTAGAAAGCTGTGTGTGAGAAAGACAGGATCTGCACTGATGTCTGTGAGCAAGCCTAGCTGAAGGGGTACAAGCCATGTAGCCGGGGTTGCAGTACCTATATTTTTCTAAAGGTAGGGGCTGTCTTGACCACAGTGAGCCCAGGAGGGGCTTTAGGCAGCTCCAGTAGCAGACCTGGGCCATAGCAGACACCTGGAGAGTGCAGGCAGAGGAGTTGGGGACCGTGCTGATATGCCCACTGCGTCAGCGTGTATCTGGGCTTTGCTCGCGTAGTCATCAGAGTCATGCTCAAGCAAGATGTTGGGAAATGGAATTGCACACAGTTTCAAATCTATTAAAAAAAGTGTAGTAGGAGCCCTAATGTGTGAAAATTTTGTTACCTGACTTTGATCCCTAATTCGCATGAGTGTGGGGTTGAGGTTCAGTCTTCTAGAGCTCAGGTGTGCATTACAGAGCTATAGAAAAGACCCAAGCAGAAATAGTGACCTCACTGTACAAAAAATCTGTCTTTCTGTTTTGTGGGGGTTTTTTTGTCTGTGTTTCATATATGCTTAGTTCTACTTGATTGTTGTATTTATTATTATTATTTTAAAATGTTTGTTCACATTTTATGTCAGAGATGTAAAAAGAAAGACTACGACATGTGTGCTCAAAGCTCCTAAGTAGCCAGCTAATAAGATTACATGGGTAGATTATAAAAACCTATTAGAATTTATTATTGGATATTGATTCGCTTAGCTTTTATTTGGCTGGAAACCAGCTTCTAAAATTTGAAAGAATTTGAAACACATTTAAAATTAAACAATTATTAAGTGAGCGGTTAACAAAAGTGTTCAAGTGCCCAACTGGGAGGAGAGCGGAAGCATTATCGAAGCAGCTGTTGCTCCAACTTGTTTGTCAGTGCCATAAAAACGACATCCTGCGAACACCAAATACAGTTTGGTTTGAGAGTGTGAATGATTTTTTTTTCCACTTTAGTGAGACTAATGTGACTGAAGCAAAGCAAATGACCTTTTGAGGCAGTGTTTTTGGGTTGATCAAAGGTGAAGCCTGTAATAATTACGTCGTTTTCACCAGACACAGAAGGAGACAGAGGTGCAGTGGGAAAAAAACAAACCACCACAAACCTCTTCTGTTAGCAGAGTTGAAGGGTGTTGTGCCTGCTCTAACCACCGCTGCGGGATGGAGGCTTGACTTACATTGAAGTTAGTTGACAGAACTGGTAGCAGTGTGGAAAAAATCAGTACAGGCATTTTTTAAAAGCAAGCATGCTGTAAACAATGTAAATAATGTAAATAAAAAAACCCATCCTGTCTGCCTAGGGCTGTCTTAATTCACCTCTGTGTCACTGCTAGCATAATCATTCATGGCCTTTGCAGAGGGAATATTTTCCAATGGATGTGCTAAAACAGAAAATGTGTTGTCAGCATCTTTGCTTTTCCAGCCTCAGTAGTGACTAATTTACTTTCCTTCCCATAAAGTGTTTTTATTTAATTTCAAATATTGTATAAACACCTTTAATTATAGTAATTTTGTTCCGTGAATGGCACTAAAGCCTTAATATAAAGCTCCTACGTTCTTTTATCATTCATGAAATTAAAGCCAGTTAAAATATGCAACTTTGTGATTTTCATCTTCACATAAGTTAGTACTTGTATCTGTGTTGGTGTACATGAATTAGAGGACTAAGCACCAACATTTGGGCGTGCAGGATGTTGTAGGCTGTGTGCCTGCACAAAGTAGAAATCGAAATTGCGCTTTGCTTGCCTTTACCCTTTCGTCTAACAAAGAGCTTCAAAGATACTGCTTGAAAATTAAATTTATATTGACAAGTGAAAATGACCAGTAATAGGAGACTCTATCAACATCTTCCCAACCAGCTGTTAGAGACTGTCATCAATTAATTAATTAGTTGACCTGAATGCTTTCTTATAAATATTTAGCAGAAAGATTTATAGTGGAAAATCAGCATAATTGAGGAAATCAGAATTAAAAGTGAGGGATTAATATTTTTCTTCTTAATTATGAAAAAGCATGTTTAGCCTTCTGTATTTCAAGTACATTGTTTACTCCCAGAGCCAAGCATGTACAATTAACTTAATAATACCTTAGCACTCCCCAAAATTTTTTAGTTGACCTTTTATCCTTTGGAAACCAAATAAAATAAATACATTTTTGATGTTCCCTGCAATTCTTTAAATTAAAGCATAGCTGGGGAAGGAGGGAACATGTTAAAATGTAAGGTTTCTTCCTGGTGGTTGTTTAAAACAGGACGATAGGATTCTTTAATGAAATTGCCACTCTGAATACAGACCATATTTGTGGAAGGGCTAACAGGCTTGTATCTAGAGCTACTTCTTCCCTGGGGTGCTCATCCATGCAGAAAGCAATAATATGCTCTATCTGGACACAGGCAGAAGGCAAGGGGTGAAAGAGAGAGAGGCCCGTGTGTTCAAAAGGTTGTCCTTCTCTGGGATGTTTCTTCTACTTGAACATACTGAAGCTAACTGTTACCCCAAAAGTGAAGTTGCCCTTTCTCATCTTCACATAAGTGGTTTTAACCATTGGACTTTGCTTCATACACTGAAGATCAATAAATATTTGTTCAGCAGAGTGAACACTGCATTTCTGTTGTGTCCATCTGACACTTGAAGTACGGGGACTCGTAACCACCTATGCACTCATAGGTCATGGCCTGACTTGTCTGGGCGCAACATGAAGGTGTGAGAAGTGCCTTACACACATCTTTATAGCCCCAAACCCTTAATAGGTCATAACATTTGGAGTTGACCTTAGCCTACAAGCCTGGGGGGATTACAGCACACAGATGTTATACTCCCTGCTAGAAGCATCCCAAAGCCATGAAGTAAGCAGCTTTGGCTCTAGTTGCTGTCCCCAGGCCATCAAAGTGTTGTGAAGTGCAGACATCAGACCTCAGCCAAGTCTGTGATGATTGCCTAGGTTCCCTGTGTAAATTACAGGAAAAAAGAGGAGAATCTTAGGAATCAGCTCATCTGACCATTTTTAAATGTCTACTGCGGAGTAAAAAAAAAAATTCTCAAATACCTCTTTTTCTCTATTGATTAAATGAGTCTGAAAAACTAGTGCAGTATATTCTTCCACATTTGATAAAATCAGTCTCACTCCTGATCTGCAGGTTTTAACGGTGTGTCAGAACTGGTTTATAAATGTGTCCTCTATTTAGAAGATACTGAACTAATCTCATAGAAGATGTAAGGACCTTCAGTTTAGGCGCTGCTATTGCTTATTTTCTCAGTGGATTTCTGACTTTCAAAGTAGCGCGTAGGTTCCTTATGTGGGAAAGCTGGGTTCCTGGGGAGGGGGGACTAAGCATGGACTAAGCAAAGCACAGGCTGTATCTGAAATTCTTTCCTTCTCCAGAGCACAAGTGCCTGATGCAGACTTGGGAGGAGATGCCTTCAGCCAGACTGGAGGAATGTAGGCGTATAAAAATTTCTTTGAAGTAATTCAGTAAGGATGACTCTTTGGACTTGGTCATGGAACCTATTTTTTTTCCACCAGTGTTAAAGCACTTATTCAGAAAATGGATTTTTTACCCTCGTCAGCTGAAGAAACCTTAACCCTCTTCCTTGTAGAAACAGCAGACTGTAGGATGGTTTGGGTGGGCACTTTCATGCCTTCAGCTGTCATGGGCAGGAGTTTCTCAAGGCCAAAGGAATGGAGCCTGCATGGCACTATGGGTTAGTGGTCAGAGCATCCCTGGCTTTTGGTCCCAACTCATAAGATCTTTTATGAGTTTTGGAGTACATACTGATTCAGTAAAACTCAGGATGAACAGCAGAAAGAAAAGCGTGGAGGAAGTGGGGAAAAAAGGTTGATTTGCAGATTGCCTTTAAAGTCAGATCGCAATACCATAGCCACGCCACATGCCTGGCCCATGTTCCCCATCAGGAAACATCTGGGCAAATAAAAGCCAAGCAGTATCATCGAGCCAGGTCTCAGTTCCACAGAGGCTATATCCATGACCAAGCCATGAACAGTGATATTAGCCGCTGACTTTGCAGGCTTTGATTCAGCCCTCATCAGCTAACTTTGTGACGTGTCTGGTATGCCTGTGTGGATGCATGTGTCCGTCTTTATGTATATCTATGTGGCATTTTTATAAAACAACCAGTTTTATAAAGTGCTGAATGTTTTGACGAAACGCTATCGGCAAAACTTGAATAACTGGCAGAATATTATCCAAAAAAATAGTTCTAACGTAGTTTTTAAAGCAGAACTTATTTTCTTCCCTAAACAAAATCAGGAGGAATTGATTTGCTATTTACAGAATAAATAAATGCGGCACAACTGTCTTTTAATGCTGGAGGCTTGCATACGTGAAAAATGGTTGGAGTGGGAGCAGAGGGAGTTGTAGCCTGTTATTTTTAGGAGTGCCTTGTGTTGTGCTTCATTCTTTTTCCAGGGCTGTTCCTGGCTAACTTTCCCATGAGTTTTTAACCTCTTGCTCTTGTTCTCTTATGTAACAGGAAACAGGCTGACAGGAACAAATAAAACACAGCGTATCTGATAGTCACACGCAGAGGAGCGGTTGACTTAGTTAGCTCTGCCTTCGTTCCTCCAAAGTAGATACATTTGGAGATTCAGATGTGCCTCAGCTCCTCTCCAGTTGTTTCCCAGGAAGCAGCAACTTGTTTGTGTTCAGCAAGCGGCACCGAAGCACCGCAAATATGAGAAAACAGATGCGTTCCTTATAAGGTTGAAATTTGTGGCGGTGTCATGTCCTGGGATTGTGGATTTAAGTATCTGTTTGCTCTTTCTCCCACCCTTAAGGCAGGGGTTTTGTGCAAGCTTCAGGGAAGAGATGACATCGGACGGATTGAGCTGGTCCAGAAGCTGGCGAGAGAAAACTGCCAGTTTTTGCAGGCGGATAGAAAACCCCCGGAGAAGGCAGAACAAGTAAGACGTTTCTTGTTTGGGTTTTTTTTGTTTCTTTCTGGTAGGGGAGGAAGATTGCGGCCACAAAACTGAACTAGCAAAGCTGATGGTCAGAATCCGGGGCACACATTAGTCATGGGGCTGTCGCTGCTCTGCTCTGGCATTTACATTTCTCTGAGGTGTGTTCAGTTCAATAATCGTCAACACACTTAAATTATTATGTTGTCATTAACTGTCAGTTACTGTTACCAATATCTTACACAGATAGGAAGTAGCAGATGATTTCAGGATGCTTTCTACCAAATTGTTGTAAATGATTGTGAAATATTTGGATTTTAGGGTGTATTTAAATAACGTGTAAGGTATATGCGTGCTTAAAGTACTTACTTTAAATTGTCTTATAGAAAATTACTTTGCTGCTGGTATATTTGGATGCAAGCATTGTCTAGAGCTTTTCAGTGTGAATTAAAAAGAATGGTCTGGGTAGGGAATTCAGCAGTTTCTTTAAAAAATGTGTTTTCAACCAGAAGTTACACTGAAGAAAGCAGCGTTCTGTTTATTGCTTCTGAAAGCACTTATTCAGATGTTAATAACTGGATTGAAAATGCACTAAAACTTGACTGCTCTGCTGATAGCACAATGTATCCTAATTTTGCTCTCCTGGTAAAGATTTCTATTTTGATTGCATATTCATCTAAAGGTGCCCAGGATAATAACTGCAAGAAACAACAAAAATCCCATCTAGTCCTTGTGTGTCTTGCTCTAATGTATATGTAATTTATTCCATTTTCTGCTCACTGGACAGTAGAAAAAAGGCATGTGCTTTAGAAAAGAAATACTTTTCAGCTCATCTGCAGGCTCATTCCTACTGAAGTAAGCCTGCACAAAGGAAAAGAGAAAGATGAAATCTTATTTCAGACTTTCATGCTGTTCTGTTCGGCAGCGTATAAGGTCTAGGCTGGTGTAGTTAAATATGTAATTGTATCAGTAGGTGTGCACGAGGGAGGAGGATAATTAGCCAGGCTCAAATCCCTGAGCTTGAATTGTTCCTCAGCTGATCCACTAGCCATGGATATCTGGCAGAATTTCCTTATATCTTTAAACCATATCAGCAAAGCGCAATTAAAAGTTTAGGTGCTTAAGTAAAGAAGATTTGAAGCCAGGGAAGGTTTCTAATTGTGTTTCAGGATTTGGAAGCAAGATTACAGATGCTGTGGGCACAGGGTAGAGGGGAATGCTGGGACTGATACTCCAGAAATTCGGTGGGTATTTTTGCTGCTTACTCCAGCCATTGCACAGGGCGATGTGGTGTCAGCTGCAGCTCTGTAGCTGCACAGATCACAGCGCAGTTCCAAAAATGGAAAGGAAAGAAGTGCTCAGCTTTTCTTCTCCTTTGAAAAGTATGGTACTTAGCAATTGCTGCTATTTAGGAGATGAGTGACTTCAGTTCAGAAGCAAGCTGCTCGTACCCATGCTGAGCGGCGTAGCGCGGCGGTTAACTGCCCGCGGGCAAGGATGTGCCTTTAGACCTAGGAGGTGGCAGGAAAGAGAAATGTCACCTGGGAGAATGCAGAAGCACAGGTCGTTCCTCGTGTGCCCTTTATTTCTGGGAGGGGAGCGTCTGACAGCTGGTGCTGGCAATGCCGAGTTACGGTGTGCTCCCCCAGCCTCGTTCTGCACGGTGCCGGTTGTCGGGTGGGAGGTGATGTGGCTGTGCCCGACAGCCCCGGCAGCCCGTGCCCAGCTGTGAGTCTTGCAGTCCTCGGTGTGGGTCTGTTTGCTAAGCCCCCAGCCAGCCTAATGATTTCCTTAGGAATAGTCACCAAGAAGGCGTTACCGAACACGGGCAAGGTCTGTCGCAGGGTCCTCAGTTGAGCTGACTCGGGTACTTTCCTTTAGCTGGGAAAAAAAAACCAACATGCTTTGCTGCGGTGGGGGCGCTGGGTCACATACGTTCAGGAAGATGTGAGCTTCCATCCCTTCCTCTCCCTCCCTTCCTCCCGTGTGGTCCGAGAGCTGCCCTGGCGCACGTGCAGCTGGCGGGGTTGGGCTGGCTGGGCAGAGCTCCCCGCCCCGGGCAGCTGTGCCCTCTCCACGGAGAGAAGCAGCGGGCTGGGTGGTAGTGAGCACCGCTCGGGTGCGGGCTTTCAGACCTTCCCGTCTCACCCTGCTGCTGCAGAAGCGATGGCGGATTCATTGGCGCTGGCTTACTGCCCAGTCCCTTCTGCTCGTCGTAAATGTTAGAGGAACATGCTCAGGGTGTGGTGTCCTTACAGAAGGATGTGTAGCATGCCCATCTGTCTGGTTTCCTTTGTATTACTTTTAAAAGCATAGGTTACTCTTACATTACTTTCTTAGAAACACAGGGTAAAGGGCACTCGATGTAGGCAGTAAAATGGAGCGGCTCTGCCTGTTCTTCGCAGGACCCTCGTTTCTCAAGAAGGGTCCCTGCGCCGAGGCTTTCACTGGCTCTCCCTCCTGGGGAGCTCAAACTGCGCTTTCACGGATGATCTGCCTTCCTCAAAGGGACGGCGTTCGGTCTGTAAATGAGAGTCCGGAACAGCCAGCCAGGCTCCTCTCCTCGCCTTTGGAGAGCCGGCGGGCCGGGCTGGCCTCCAGGCAGCCCATCTGGAAGCAGAAGTTGCTGCTGGTTTGCAGGACACAGGGCTGTGTGTCGCAGCCAGCCCTGGGCAGCGTCGCCGTTCCAGGCTGGGGGGTTTGTAACCCGCCTAGATGTAAAGCTGCTCTTTCCAAGATGGCCAAGGGGGAATTTTTTCCCAAAGCAGAGTTCTGGTTTGTTCTCCTCTAGGAATACGCAAAAAAACCCGCAACTTGAACGCAGGGTTAGAATTGTGCGTATGCGTAATTCCTCCCTGCGTACTCCGTCCCACGCACGTGATGGGAAATGGAGTTGGGGCTGCTCTGATGCTACCCACCGTGTTTCTAAGGCACACCCCTTCAGACGAGTACAACCTCGCATGGTTTTCCAGCATTAACAGCAAACACAAATGTAGTATGATGGGGCTTTGCTGACTCTTGTACTTTTCTTTGAAGAAGGAAGAGCTCTCGGCCTAACTGAAGAATTTGGTACCCAATGACCCCAGTAACTTTCTTCCTGTACAGTGAATGGGATGTGGAGCGCCATGGGTAGCTAGGCTGCGAGGAGGACTGGTGAGCCCTCCTGTCATTCAAATAAATAATCACCATCTTCATCCGAGTTTGAGGACAGAACTTTGTGACTCACGTAGGAAAGGCAGATAACAAGGATCTGGTCTTCCAGATGTTTTTGGGCAGATAAAGTACCTAAAGGTATTCTTCAAGGTGTGGTGTTGGAGGTCTGTGGCCCTGGGCAGGTGAAGCATGGATTGGTTTGAGTCGCTGGTTCAGAAGGAGGTGAAATATAATTTTTTTTTTCTCAGAGAAAGCAAATGGTCTGGAAGAGGGAAAACGTGACAGCTGGGTGGTTCACTGGAGGAGAGCTCGGTTTGGAACCCTAGTGGGAGAGAGAAGGGATTCCTTCAGTTTGAATGTGCTCTGGAGGGTGTAAAATTGGGGTGTGTGTATATATGTATGTGATGATTTTGTGCGCACATACATTTTTACTTCATACTTTAAGTACCCAAGTTGGAAAGTCCATACCGCTTTTGTTTCAGGTTTCTGGTATGCTATCCTTTCTTTTTAGATTTATGGTCTGGATAAAAAAGTGTGCTGAAAAAGTCCTATAATTTAAAAAGTTTTGTACTAAAACTCTATGATGTATGAGCTGCTTATTTGTTTTTGGCACCGCAAGCTTGCTGTGATCAGGTTAGACTGGTATATTGGAATTAGTGTTCTTCTGTAGCGCACAGTGCCAGCTTCCTCTCTGGTGAATATAATGTTTGCAAAGTGCTCTAACTGTAATGGTGCTCACAGACTTGCAGAGGAAAAAACAACTAAATTATAGTGATTTTTTTTTTCCCTCACTCCCACTTGCTAATGTGTTAGAATAAGGTTCTTAATTTAAAGGACTGAACCTACCCTATGTGTTAGGTTTCCTAAAACATCAGTTTGCTAATGAGTAGAAAGTAAATAGTAGTGAATAAGTTTCTAAATAGGCAGGTAAGCTGCTTCTCTGTGCTGTTGCATTCCTACAATGAGATTCAATGTATTGATAAATAAATAAAATTAAATGGTTGTCTAAAATGCACAGAAATTATTCTAATACCAGATGTGGGCTAGAGTAAAAATAACTATGCAAGCTTCCAGTTCTAATTTTATCATTACATGCAAAGCACATTCATAAGCCTAGGGAAATGTAAAATTGAATATTTGTATTTTTATGTTATTTAAATATTTCATTCCTTTAAAACAATTGCTTTGACAGAAAATAGATGAAAAATCTGTATGGGAATATTGAGCTCTAAAATGAGCCTGCTTTTTTGAGAAGTTTGCTTGCTGTTAGCGTTAATTATAATATAGAAAGCAAGCTCTGTACATAAAGCCATTTGAAGTAATTTATCACAGCTTTTTTTGCTCAAGCATACATTTGAGATGCATTTGAGGCACATTTGCACTAAAACATATTTTTTGGAACTCTTTTAAGCAACTACAGGCTCAATTAAATAATGCCTTTGTAACAGATGTGATACTGTTTGTACAGTATTTCCAGTTATTATTTCAATGAAGCGTTGCACTGATTAAGAAAATCATGTCTGTTTATAGTGTTGTTGTCTTAGTAAAATTGTAAAAGTGTTTTTCACCTCATCAACATGAGGAAAATATTCTTTAGATTATAATATTATCATCATCAGGTCAACTGAATAAGCTTTCTACCAATTGATGCTGATGTTCAAAGGAAATTTAAAATTCTGTAATGTATTCATTAGAGAACTAAAGAATAGGAATTAATTTCTTCAACTATATAAATTATATTCTAGGCTGGGGCTCTTCTAGTACTTCCGTGCATCAGTGGGGAAGGGAATGTTTCCTAAATCTGCGTTGTAATCCCTTTACAGTTTAATGAATATATTAATTAGTTACAT